TTTTTGAAAATCTCCTTTCATCACTTAAGGACAAGTCAATATGCAGCTGAAAAAGTTAGTGTGTAGATCAAGCTGTGTGTAGTTCCTCTTATTGGCTGCCAGATCTGAAGAAATGTGAATTTAGTAGTTTTGTCTTGTGAGCCTTGAAGTTGCCATCATATTATTAATTATGACTTGTCTGAAACCTGCTCCAAAACATTAAGTAGCTGTCTTGTTGACCATTTTGTCAAGCAGGATAAGATAATAAATAAAAATCTGTAAATTTGTTTATCTGTGGGGGAGGAATGGTGGTGGTGTGTCAGAACGTGCAGGCTCTGAGGTAAAAGTTTTCACATGACTCAAAACATTTTTCACAGAAAATATCCATTGTAGTAAATTTCCTAAATAAAAGGCACTTTTACACCTTTTGTTTCTAAATATAAATTCTTCATGCATAACACATGTGTTATTAAAGTTAATAATGTACCACAGTACACCACCAACCAACAGAGCAAAAAGGTTAGAAAATAAAGAGACTTCTTAAATTAAGACAATGTATACCAATTTCCCATAACTTACTTACCTGGGGATTTAGACTGAGATTGTCCCATGACTAGAAAATAAAGCATACCAGCTCATTTGTAAAGTTTATTTTATGGCAACAAAATATGTCTTCAAACATGACTTGAAAATTAACATTGATCTATCAGTTTACAATTTATAGCTTTAAAGAAATTTCTAAAAGGATCTTTAATAACTCAAAATGATTGAAATAAACATGAAACTGAAAAAATACTTTAATCAAATTAAGAAAAAACTATTAAACATAACTATACTTTCAGTTTTACAGTCAAAGACTCATTTAAATCCGACATTAAAAGTGTAAAATATTACCTTTTGTTACCTGAACAGACGAACAGTCACCTTCCAAAGTATACTGAGACGGTTTTCTACAAAACATCCAATCGAATCCTCAGTTTCACTTTCGCTTTTAAACCAGTTAGTTTCTAGACCATACAAAGCTTTGGCTTTTTCCAAATATTTATTACTTTAATATATTTTGCAGTATTATACTCAGTATTATTGCTAAAAAACTATATAAAAAAATCATACACCATAACAAACATCAAACTAAACTCACTTTGTTTCAACTGTCCTAAGAACATCACCAGTTATGAAACAAGCAATAAACAGCCTTTGGTCAAGTGCCATGATCAAGATCATCAAGCGAATAAACAAAAATGCTAATTTACATTCCAGTTATGAATCAGGTGGCCTTTTAGCCGTGAAGGTAAAAGCCCACCGTCTTTGTCCATATAATGTAAACTCACTGTTTGTAGGGAATGCTGAATGTATTGTAAAGAAACATGGGGACTTATGATCAAGTTACATCACAGCACATAACAAATGACAAGTTTGCACAAAGCAAAACATCTGATGTCTCTAGACGTTGTGTAACATGTAGAAACAGGCAGACATTTACGAGAGGATACAGGCTGTGACAGGTGGGACACCAGAGTGAAAAGGACACAAATGGAAACAGTAATCTGTTACCTTTCCAACTATGCAAGCACTTTAGCTTGGGAGATGAAATGGAGAGGAAAAAAAACACTTCTTGCAAAGATTAAAATCTAAACCAAATGTATCGAAAGACTGTGGAAAAAGTTTATCTCACTGTTTCAGGCTGGGACATGTTCATCCCTGTAATTTTGTTGAAGGTAGTCTAAAACATCCAAATTTGATGTTTTACTGTGATTTGTTTTACTTCAACGTGTAAAATTAAACTTTAAAATACACCTGGTCGCACCTGGTCGGCTTTAAAAAAACCAAAGTAGTGAATTTGCAAAAAATAAAAGTCATAAAAGCTACAGATTTCCAGCTTCCCTCTGATGAGTCTCTGTGTTTTTACATCAGTATTTGGCACCAGGTGTGATTTATCCCAGGGCTGTTGGTGGTAAAAAATTCTGAGCCTTTCTTTTATGCCTGGGAAAGACATGAGGTGGGGGGTGTTATGTATTCAACACACCTTTAACGCATAACGTATAATACAGTGTATCACAAAAGTGAGTAAACCCCTCACATTTCTGCAGATATTTCAGTATATCTTTTCATGGGACAACAATGACAAAATGTCACTTTAAAACAATGAAAAGTAGTCTATGTGCAGCTTATATAACAGTGTAAATGTATTCTTCCCTCGACATAACTATATAAACAACCATTAAGGTCTAAACCATCAGCAACAAAAGCAACTATACCCAAAAGTGAACGTTCCTTAAGTGTCAATATTTAGTGTGTTCACCGTTATTTCCCAAAACTGCCTCAACTCTCCTGGGCTTCACAGGTTGCCACTGTTCCACTCCTACATGATGACATCATGGAGCTGGCAGACAGTCAAGACTTGACGCTCCTCCACCTTCTGCTCGAGGACGCCCCAAAGATGCTCTGCTGGGTTTAGATCTGGAGACACGGTTGGCCAGTCCATCACCGTCCCTTTTGACTCTTTATATAACTGTATTTCATTTATTTATATTAGGCTCAGGGTTGTAACATGCAGGAACTGTCTTTTCTATTTGCAGTTGCTGAGGTCCAGTGGTGGTGATGTTGTCTTCCTCTTCTGTGTGTTCGAATTCTCGAATTTGGGTTGTCTCACTGCATCTGGTGCTTTAAAAGGTTTTTTTTTTTGGTTTGCTGTGTCTGGTGGATGCCGTCTCATCTACCGGTAACCTCAGCTACTGTTTTTCTTCTGTTTTCTTTTTCTTTTATAGGGAAGTGTGTTTTTAAAAGAGTATTTTAAAATAAAATTTAATAAATTGCTTTGTGAATCCAAGTCCTGTCTCAGATGTCAGAAATACCTGCATATCTGAATACCTGTGTGCCTTAAAAAGAAGATAAAATTCTTTTGAAGGCACACAGGTAAAAAAACAGTAACATTCCCTGGGTGAAATTTCCAGGGAATATTACTGAGGTGGATAACTCAGTAATATGTCATATGTCAGACACTTGACGTCAGATGTCAGCTATGCGGCTGGGCTGATACAATTTACAATCAGTCTAGGGCTCCATGGCTGGGATGCCAGTTTTGACGAGTCTGAATCGCTGCCAACAAAAAACTCCACTTCATCTCCAAGACGACAAACAAAATATGCGTCCAGTTTTTTGGCTTTTCCTTGCTCTCTTTTTTCCATCCTTTCCACTTTGCCGCTCCATGGAGCTCCACTCCTGTTAACAAGTGACTGATGACGTTGGTGGGGGGCTGGTGACAAGTTTTACCCAGAATACACTAGGAGACAATATTGGCAATCCACTTGTTGTTAGGTTCTGGTTTTTTTAGCTTGTTCCTTTGGGTTGCCGAGTTATCTCCCCACTAGATGGAGTCCGAGAGGTGGCGGGCTGTGGTTTCATTGATGATGTCATCCTCTCACCGGAGGCTGATCATCTAATTGACGGCAGCATAAGAAGGTGGAGCGCCGGTACTTCGACGCCAGAGTGTCAACCTTAGATGGTACCTCCAGCCCCTCAGAGTTTTGCTCCGAGTTTTCCTCTTTCTTGAGATCTGCCTGTTTTTGTGTTGTGCTTCATTGTGGGTTTTTGCTCTCCTCAGGATCCTTCCACATCTGGTTGCCTGACCGCTGTTTTTTTCCCACGACGTCATGGGATCTTGCCCCATAGATGCCTGAAAGCCAAACCTCACCTGTTACTGTAAGATTCTGGCAGCCATTCAGAAGTCTCCAATCGGCCGTTCCACCTAAACTCAGCCGCTTTCAAGGACAAGCCTCCCTGTCCGCCCTCCAACGCCACTCTCCGAGCCACCAAGCTCCACGGAGAAGCAACTCTATAGGTTAGAAAGAACTCCAGGACCAACCAACCCCCTCCAAGCCGTTCGGACGCACAGAGCCATGCACCGAGAGCAGCCAAGCAGTTTTCTGGACCAGCTTCGCTTTAATTGTTGCTTGCTGTAAATAAAACTTTTAATTTTTACATCCGTCTCTTTGGTGTTGATGCATGTGGGTGAAATCCGTTAAACCCATCATGACACTTGTAATTTTTGTCAAAGTTAAATGTAAGGATAAAATTATAGCCAGTCATGTAGCACAACATTCTAGTCAATATTTTACACCCACTATATCACTAAAACCAGTCGGTTCTGTAAAGTTTTTAGCAACCTACTATACAATCCTACATACACAGTGGTCATTATGAGAGGGCCTGCCTTCCCCTGAAGGCTTGGATCCCTACCTCCCATTCAGGCCCCATCCCCATTTTCAGGGGTTGTATTCAGTCACAATGCTTCCCTATTATCATAGTCCCCCAAAAATGCGCCTTTACATGATTTAATGACAGGCCTGTCACTATGTCTGAGGTTGTGAAATCTTTTGAGTGACTGTTGTTGAAGCATCTGAAAGAAGTCACAGGCTCCCTTGCGTTCTGCTTACTGGCTAAACAGGGCAGCAAATGATGCAGTCAACCTGGGACTAAACTTGATCCTGCACCATCTCACCCACTCAGCGTTACACACCAGGATCCTGTTTGTGTAACTCAGCTCCGTCTTCAGTACCATCAACCCAGACATCACTGGTCTGGTCAGAACCACTTGAATACACCTACAGCTCAATCAACATGGAGTTTGACTTGGTCAAGACTTTGGATAATGTAACAGAAAATTTCATAATGTGCTCCTCGCCTTTGTTTTTTAATTATCTGAATAGCTTTACCATAAAATTGGTCAGCTGCTCTCATATAGACCTCTACAGTCAATGTGAGGACGAGTCTATATAGCCATAGACTCGTCTATGGATATATTTTTTTAAAGAGTTCCTCCATTTGTTTTTCAATTAAGGAATGTATATGCTAACTTCAAATGTGTCAAAATCTCAGTTTATAGATGATTTCTCCAAAATCCCATGCTTATAAAAAGTGAAAGTAAACTGGTTTAAAAGGATATACATCTTGCAGCACCATCTCAGTCGTGCTCTGACAGGCAACTCAGTCTGTTTCTGATCTCTGTTAGAGGATTACAACATAAAGGTAAGTTGCTTTTTCCATTTCAATTTTAGAGGTCAATTTGCTTGTAAAAGTGAATAAATATTGGATGTATTTTTTGTTGTCATTAGTTTCGGTCATTATTATTGCATTTACTGCCAAGAAAAGCCAAGATCATCCCATTTCCCCATGCTGGAGATTTTAGTTTAATAATAACAATGAATACAGTTAGTTACCTTTAAAATTAATTACACAAGTGACATCAAGACCCAACAGTAGTAATAAAATTAATCTGGTTGTTATTGTGTCCTGCAAACTTTGCTTTAGTTCTTCCTTTTTCTATCTAACCATAAAAAATCATAGTCAGACAGAAAGAGTCATGAAACAGGAAGAGCAGGTTTCCTGAAGAAAGAGGAAGTGAGTTTCCAGCCTGCATATGTATAGAAATAGTTCAGACTATTCCTTATTTCAAAGCATAAAAGTTTTAAAGAATGAAATCTAAACATTTTTTGAGTAATTCAATAAGACCTAAAGTAAAATACTTAGATTAGTATTGTTTTACTTATAAGAATACTTACACTTGTGAGAATGCTTACAAGTAAAACAAGTAACTGTAACATGGTATCAAATAATTCAAATAATGGATTATTCTTGGTTTCTTTTCAGAAAATATCTGTAATAACTCACATTAAGATTATAATAAGAGTAACTAATAAGTAATGGTTATAATATTATGAATGAATGCTAAATCAGAGAAACTAAAAGGTTATAAATCTGATTTTGACATTGAACTGGAGATGGTGTAAAATGTGTAACTGTAACACCCTTGGGACTCATCACTAAAACCAACCTGGTTCAGTAACAAGTGCAAGTTGTAATAAAGAGAAAGAGCGACCGTTAACAGGTGTGCTCTGTGGACCTAGTTCACTGCAGGCTGCTCAGTCTGGCTAATTCACAGGGTGAAGAAGGAGGGACATCTGGATGGAGGGAGTGAGAAACCAGGCGAGTCTTTCTTTGTCTCAGCTTAATCAGAGTTTACTTCAGTTCTGGACAGGCTAAAACCCCAGCAGATTTAGGAAACTCATTTCACCCATTAGCTGGAGAGCTGGTAGCACATCTCCCTCCTCTCAGAAGAGGAAGTAGAGAGAGAGGAGGAGGGGGGGTGGGTGTTGTGCAACAACATTACTGAAAATAATTGATGGTGTTGAAGTTAGATTTGATCCCAGATGTTTCTGTATTTCAGCTATGGGAGGATCTAGTTCTAGACCGCGTCCTCTTCCTCTGCGTAAGTTTGCTTGACCCCAATGTGTTTTTTATTTATTATAATAAATAACATACATTTTATGTTTCTACAATTAACAGTTGTTGAAGAACCATGGCTGCAGATGAATTGGGAGTGAGTGACTATTCAATAATATATTATAGAACAACAATTATAGCAGAAATGTTCCATTTCAAGCCTCCATTATTTCTCGTCTAGCCCTCCAACCTTCCCTCAGCAGTCTGACTCTACTGTTGGGTTCCAGCAGTTATCCAGCCATTTGATTATGATCTGCTATGTCTCATTTGAAGCTCAGACAATAACTTGCAGCTAAAGGAGAAGTGATGTTTGTTTCCCTGAGCAGAGACAGAGAGTCTGACCTGCAGTTCATAAACAACTACAAACCTAAAGGTGAAGGTCAAGAGAAGTTCAGGATTCTTCTCCATGGACCAGTTGGAGCTGGAAAGTCCAGTTTCATCAACTCTGTCATCAGTATCCTGGAAAGTAGAATCTGTCGCAGGGCTACTGCGTGTAACACCGGGCAGGGCAGCTTCACCCGAGAGGTAGAAAGAAAATTGTTCCTTCTTTATCTTGAAAGTCCAATGATTATTTATCCACTGGTCTGAGAACTGCTGAATATTTCTACATTCACATCATGTTCTCCCATCTAGATCTGATGAAATGGAAACAGATAAACAGATTGAAAGACAAAATCTAGTCTTTAAAACTTAGAGGCACTAGTTCTGCTGTGACCTTGCAAGAATAGACAATGGATGGCTGGATGTTTTATTTTGAATGTTTGTTCTGGTTAACAGTACCAATCCTACAGGATTAAAAAAGGAAACCAGGATAACGAGTATCCTTTTGTACTAAATGACATGATGGGTTTGAGCAACGTCAGTCGGAGACACAGAAGAGTCCATGTGAAAGACATGAAAAAGGTCATGAAGGGTCACATTAAGGATGGATACAAAGTAAGATTTTTGCATCAACTTTGACAGCAAAAGGAGAAAAAATAATAATTTGTCACTATTTTTAAAACTATTTAACTGTCTGTTTTCAGTTCAACCCAGAGAGTACTTTGTCCAACACTGACCCGTTCTATAAGCAGAAACCAACTATCAATGACAAAGTTAACATCCTGGTTTCTGTCTTTGATGCCAACACAGCAAATCTACTGGGAAATTCTGTTGTAGAGACAATTCAGGACATTAGAGATGATGCTACTGAGCTGGGTGAGCGAAAACATTTCAAAGAACAATGAAAAGCCACTTAAGTTGTTTCACTTTGACTAAGCTGAACAAATTTTTTTGTATTTTCTGGATAATTTATCAATACAGTGAACTTTAAGCATTTAAAAGTGAGATGTAAAATTACTCTGCTTCCTCTCTGCAGGGATTCCTCATGTGGTCGTTTTCACTAAGATTGATGAGGTCTGTCCTGAGACCAAAAAAGATGTAAAAAATGCCTGCAAGAGCAAGTTGCTACAGGAAAAGGTACATTATGTGGTGCTGGTACTTCTTATGGTACAGTCACATGGAGTTGGACATGTATTTTCTGTAAAATAACTTATGTAAATCATTATTTTTGACATCTAATCAAACTTTGCTTCATCATTTCTAATCTGGTCTGCTTTGGTTTTAACTCACAGGTGAAGGACTTCAGCAAACTGATAGGAATCCCAGAGAACTGCATCTTCCCTGTGAAGAACTACCACTGTGAGAAGAAGCTGAACCATGACATTGATGCTCTGATCCTGAACACCCTGAGACACATCATCGAGATTGGAGACGAATACCACAGCAGCTAAAAACGACCAAAATCTAACCAGTTTATATCTACAGATATTTTATTACTGAACCAAGCTACAAAACTGAAAGAAAAACATTAAATCAGGCATGTTAAAGAGGTCTGCACAGTTTTAATAATAGACTAAAATATTTTAAATATTTTGTGAAGGTATTATACACACGCCCCTTTGCTCCATCCAGGCTTTTTTCAGGTCAACATCAATAACGGTTTGATTTAAGATTTTCTTGCTATGGACTGCAACATTGTACCCAGTATTTTATGTAAACTGCAGTATTTCAACCATTAAATGTAAAGATCAAAATAAATATGGTGCAGATTGCACCATATTTATTTAAACAAAGTGTTCTACATACATTATGAACACATTTAAGGGGGTTAAACTTACATCCTAGCTAAGCCTCCATGATTCTTCAGTGAGAAAGGCTGACATAACTAGAGGAATTATCTGATTTTCTTCTTATCTCAGGTGCCCTTTAGGATCCTTCTCACAGTTCAAATACTAATAAAGTTGAATAATGATTTTATCCACAGTGTGCAATAGCATCAGAATCTGTTCATGTCTTTAAAAAATTACTTTTATACAATAAAGTTAATATGTTTGTACAATAAAATGGTTGTCTATGGAATGTAATTGACATTTTTGTAGCCCACAAAACAACCGTTACACAAGTTTTCAAAAATATACTTTCTTTGCAGATTGCATAAAAATGCAGCCCAAAACGCAGTAGTGCATCTATAAACCAAAATCAATTACATTTGTATAACACCTTTCAGCAACAAGACAATTCAAAGTGTTTTACATCATAAAAACACAAAAATACAAAGTCATAGAACACACAGTGAGCATTAAATTTTGCCATCATTAGACATCAGATTATTGATTAATGTTTCATTGATCATGTTTTAGTCTAGATTTAGTGAGAACACAAGCAGCAGCGTTTGGATCAGCTGCAGTTGGAGGATCGATTTTAATAAGACAGACTTGTAAAGACACTGCAGCAATAATCACAAAAGGTTTTAAAACCCAGCAGTTATCAACCCACTATCCATCTATCCATCCTCTTTACACCCTTGTCCCTCAGTGGGGTCGGGAGAGTTGCTGGTGCCTCTCCAGCTAACGTTCCAGGCGAGAGGCGGGGTCACCTGGACAGGTCGCCAGTCTGTCGCAGGGCAACACAGAGACACACAACCATGCACACACACACTCACACCTAGGGGCAATTTGGAGAAAAATTACATTTGGACAAATTAATACTGCAGAATTACCGGACAATGTTCAACCTAGCATTCATCAGCAAAATGATCAAAAAAGCTGTTTAAACGGTAGTTTCCTAACAATAACCAACTGCTTTGATGACTTCCAGTCTGGTTTCCGATCTCACCACGGCACGGAGACTGGCCTAGTCAAAATGTTCATTGACATACATATAAATACAGACTGTGGGAGAACCACAGTGCTGGTTCTGTTGGACCTCAGTGCAGCTTTTCACACGGTTGACATTTTACTGAATCGACTGGAGAGTTGGGTCGGACTCTCCGGTCCAGTGCTCAACTGGTTTGAACAGGGATTTCTTTGCATCAACAGGAAACATCT